TGATGATCTCGGGCTTGAACTACACTGCGAAACTTCCGATTTTACATGTTTTCTGATTACAAAAAGATCTTCCGCTGAAGAAAAACTTAAAAATCAACTAATATCTGACTATCAGATCGTAAGAATGTGGCAAACGAGAAAGAGAGAAGCAGTACAGATCCTAATCAACGAAGAGGCAAGAATGCAGTAAAACTAGAGGAACAAAAACGCAGATTGGGGAAGCTTACCGGCGGCGACGACGCGATCACAGGAATTCTTAATCGTCTGGAACTGAGCCAAGTAGTTGGCCATCTGAGTAGTGGAAATTGCCGACGCCGGCCGGAATCTTTGATAAGATCCGAAATCGGTCTTAGCTTGAGAACATACAAACAAGGGGGGAATCAGAAGAAACAGCAGAGAAGGAAGGTGAAGCAGATTCGAGAAAGCTACTCTCGTTAATTGATAAAATAAAATGTACTGTTGTTAACCTTGTAAATCCCAAATCAAAAAATGCTAGTATAACAACAAACGAAAACGAAGAGATGGGAGCATTAGTGTAAATAAAATAAGTTCTAGATCGATTTGGGCTTCAACCTTCATCTTTAATCTCTTAGGGCCCACCAAAGCACAAATTAGATTACATGGGCATTTTTTTTTCAGTTTGGTTTTAAATCGATTTTTCCCATTTTACGGTTTATTGCTTTTATGAAAAAAACAAACCATATAAAAATTATATATATTTTAGTTTGGTATAGTTCGATTTTTTTTAGCTTCCGGTATTTCGGTTTTATAAAAAGCAAAACCATAAAAAAATATGTAAGTTGGTTCAATTTAATATGATTCGGCTTTGATTTTTAAAATCTTTGATTTAAACTATGAATAAAAATAGTAATAATAAACATGAGTGAAATAAAACAAAAATTTCAAATACTAGAATCTAAATCATAAGAAATAAATCTAAATCATCAATAAAAATTAAGTTTTTGAAACCCAAAAACTATAAAAAAACACATGTATTCAACTTAACATTTGAAATAATTTGGAAGGATTTAAGTTTTAATGAATTTTTAATTGATTTGGTTGAATTATGAAATTTTTTATGATTTGATATCAAAATTCTATCAAATTCCACCTAAAATCATGAGTTTGAATTTTTATATTTTTAACTAGGAAATTTTACCAAAACATCTTAAAATCACTCCAAGTTTTTTAAAACCCACTACTTTAGTTATTTCCAATAACAGTAAATTTGAAGATATATTTTCAAATCAATAGTTCAATAATACTGAACTTTAAACAATTTTTAAAAATTTATATTTTAATTACAGAATATTTGTGATTTTAATACAAAATCACTCTAATTTCTATTTTCAATACCCCTCCCCCCTCAGATTCTTATCTTCTTTACTCTTCCAAAAAAAAAAAAATATAAACATTGAAATCAATCTATATTTACATAAGATCTATATATAATTATAAATTTATATCTATTTGAAAACTACAAAATAATAATTAATCTATAATATATAAATATTTTTCTGTTTTGATTGAAAATTAAGATTAACAATTTTTATTATTTATATGTAAGTATTTCTTATAAATATTATATTATAAATTTATGAGTATTATAGTGAATTATAAAAATAGTTCAATAGTAAAATGTGGACTAAGTAAATAAGAAAGTATAAACTGTTTAAGACTTAGTTTTAAAACTAAAAAGCCATTTAGTTTGACAAGTTTTAACTAAACTAAATCTAAACTAAAACATTTTAGAAAATGATAACTAAATAGATTTTTCGGTTTAACTATAACCAAATTATTTTTTGTTTTGATTTGTTTTTTTCCATTATGGTTTTTTTTCTCACTCCTACAAAATATTGTTTATAAATCTGATAAAAACGACAAAAAAAGTTATACATGCCACCGAATATATTTAAAATATGAATGAAGCTTAAAATAAATTGTTTAGATATTCGTTTCAAATCATATAGAAACGTCAAAAACCAGCTCTTTGGATTTTATTGAAGCATCAAAAGGTGAGTCTTTATCAAAGATAAAACGAAACTGATTCAAAGCAAGCTTCAAAATTCAATCACAAACTTTAAAATCACAATCGAAACAGAGAAGACAGAAAAATCCAAAAGAAACGCAAAGACCCATTACACATACGTCAGGGCTCAGACAAATTTGAATTTTCTTACAAACCTCTATGATGAAGTCGATCTCAATATATCCTAATTAATTAAACATTAATTCTTTTCATAAGCAAGTTTAACTAGATATGTTTCTCCTATAAACAGATATCAGGAATCTCATACAAAATTTAATTTTAGTTCTCTTTTCAACGATATCAATGAGCAAATGCATGATCAAAACATTAAAACAATACGTGCAACTAATGTGCAAAAGTTATTGGTTTGCTTTGTGTTTTGACCAATCGAGATGCCGTTTTTACTTTTTTTTGTATAATTTATACTTCTTTCTTCGTCATTGATCCATTGGTTCTAGCATTTCCATTTTGAAAGCTTCATTAGCCAGATGAGATGCTTCTCCACTATGAAACTTCTCCAAAATATTTTCACAAGTGGCTTTTTCAACCTTCTCTTTGGCCAATTTAGATTTGCTCATATTCCTCTTTTTGCCTCTTCCTCCATTTGATCATAAAGCTCTCTTTGAACCTCCATTTGATCATAAAGCTCTCTTTGAACCTCAGAAAATGTCTTGAATAAATGTTTTCTTCCTCCAGTGTAGTGGAATCGGCTTGTCTCAGCCTTGAAGTTGTGGGAGAAATCTCATTTTCTCTCTCGTTGACCTTGTAGACAAGAGGCTTCACCACCATCTTCTCTTGAACCTCAAGATGGTTTGCCACTCCATTAGCTCCAACCTCCAAGAAACTCTTCCACTCAAACTCAGGATACTTCACTCTCATCTCTTTCTTAACCGTGGAAATGAACACTTTGAAAACTGAATTAAAGGAAACATATTTTTTTTGCTTTTGTTTAGTGAAAAAAGATTATGAAGACGATGAATAGTGAAGAGGAGCCTTATATAAGCAAAGAAAGCCTATTTTACTTCATTGGATTCTAACAGAGCAAATATGACGACACTAAGCTTTGAACCAAAAAAAAGGCAGAAGCTATAGATTATAGCTAACGATGAACGTTATCTATGTATAGCTTACGATGAACGTTATCTATGTGACTATGTCGCACTACATACGATCTCACTACATTGAATTCGTGGTAGTTTATAATTCATAAATTTAGTAAGGATTAATTACACAATTGTATAGAAAACTTTGCTTCATCAACAATTAGTTATAAAATCCAATAGGCTTTTCTTGAGCTGAATCTCGCATAGAAGATCGGACACTAATAATGCATCGACACACTGGAACTGATTCATGATTTCAACGAACACTTTGATGAAACTACTAATTTACAACTACTTGGTTCAGTTTTCGGATTTGATAATCCCACTTTAGTTGATTCAGCGATCTAAGAATAGCATCATGAGTATCGGTGGATCAGGCCACGCACTTAATGTCGTCGTGCCCGTATGAGTAGCGGTGTGGATCATAATCACATGACGTCTCACTCGACAACAATTTGTGCTGTCCATTTTCGGATCTTTGCTTCGACTCGTTTCTTGTTGAATTGTTCCTTATAATTATTTTCTTTCGTTGACAAAAAAAGAAAAACAAATATAATTTTCTTTCTTTGTAAGTATAGTTTAAAGGTTGCTTTGGATTGCTCAATCAGATAGCATTGATGCTTATTTACTTTTATTCAAAAGGATGCATATATTTTCAAGAAGTCGACATGTAACACGTTTCATACACATGTGTAACGCATCTGCATCAAAACGTTTTTTGTATTTAATCTCTATGTTTTTTACTTTTTTACAGACCTTTTCTACCCATTACTGCAGTTTCAGTTTTTTCCTTTAATTTTTTCCATAAATACAAAATCTTATAGTTAAACTCATAATTTCATCATACTATGCATATTTTTACTTAATTTTCTTTAATCATAAGTATTTGGGAAATTCACTACAATAGCACCTTTTCTTTTTGTTCCAAGTATAACACCACTAGCTTAAATTTTCAATACAGTAATAGCGCATATTCAATGGGTTTATAATTGGTAGGAATGGTAAACATTAGAGTAACTTGAAGTAATTGAGAGGGAAGTCGTTAGAGTAAAAGAGTGAAAAAGAGAAAAAAATAATGTTTTAGATGTAAATGGTAGTTATTGAGATGATGAATAATATGATGAAAACGTCATACATTACCAAATTAATTAAATTCAAAGAGTTATGATGAAATCAAAAGAAAAATAAGTGGGTTGTCAAATATCAAATAAAGACAAGAAGCACAATTTTAATTGATAAAAGCTCCTATATAATTAATGTCTTACTAAAATATTTTAGTTTTATTATTTTCAAATATAGTATTATGCATAACAAAAAAAAGAATGGTATAACCCAACCTATATCCAATTCTAATATGAAAAAAAAGTAAACTATAAAGAATTGGGAAGGTACAATATAATTATATTTTAGAGTAAAGGTATCGAATCCAACTTTAGGTTACATGCGCGGGCAACTGTCTAGTTCCTTATAAAAGGAGGATTTGGTGTGATGATGATCAAGTACTAGTAGAGAGACAAAACCCTATAAAAGAGGCAAACGTTCATTTCTTGTGAAGCAAGTAGTAAGGTTTTCAAAAGACAACACGTACGGAGTACAAAATCAAAACACTGCGGTACTAACATCCCTCGAATTTGTGTTTGTGAATACAAGTAGAAACACGACACTTGAAATACTAAACAATTTTGATTCATTGTTCCGTCTATAAAATTTATAAAAGTTTATTTAAAATCTTATGATCTAGATTTTTTGTTTAGCCAAAAAAATTAAAGTGATCTAAATTTCATTCGATATTTACATTAATTGAAAATCTAATTCCTAACCAAATTTTTGTGAATCGTTATAAACTAGAATAAATTCCAACAATTAATATGGATTCAAGATCGCTTTGGATTGCTCAATCGGGCGACGTTAATGCTTTATATTCTCTTATTCAAGAGGATCCATGTACTCTTCAAAAATTCGAGGTTGCACCTTTCATCCACACACCTCTGCATGAAGCTTCATATATTGGGAAGATAGATTTAGCGATGGAACTGATGATTCTAAAGCCATCTTTTGCCAAGAAACTAAACGAGAACGGGCTTAGTCCCTTGCATCTCGCTGTCGAGAACCACCAAGTTGAGTTAGCACAAGAGCTAATCAAATTTGATCCCAGTCTTATTCGTGTTCGTGGAAGAGGAGGTAAATTAATTACTTCAAAATCTTCTTAATTCTTATTTGTTCATTGAATTTTTTTGACCAGGTTAACCAAATATATATTTTATAAACAAAAATATAAAGTTACGTGATGAGAGATGTATTTTAATCAGGTATGACACCTTTGCATCTTGTGGCTAGAAAAGGTGACGTAGATCTTCTTACAGAGTTTCTTGGAGCATGTCCTGATAGCATTAGAGATGCGAATGTAAATGGAGAAACTGCTTTACACATCAAAAATAGATACGAAGAGCTCAAAGTTCTGAGAGGGTGGATGCAAAGAACACGTAAAAGTGATGCTTTGTCCACTGAGTTTCACGTCCTGAACAGATGTGATCGTGAAGGCAACACAGCTTTGCACCTAGCAGCGTACAAGAATGATGACCAGGCATGCTCTCACCCTTAATTACTTGTAGAGTGAAATGGTCTGAATTTCACACACTCAACCTTTAAATTAAACTTTTATCCGCCGTAATTATCTTTTAGTTGTTCAAACATATACTACTATGGTAGTAGGCCTTAAATTGTAGATTAGCTTTTATTTTGTAATTGATCATACTTACTTCTAAATTACAACTTTACATAGACTAGGAACAAATATGTAACCGATACTTTGCTGATCTAGCTCCGACTCAGGTAACTCTCTGTATCTCGGTCTCTCTCTCTCTTTCGTCACTTGTGTATATCAAGTAAGAAAAGGAAAAACGAGACTCAAGGTTTTATAGAGTTCCCCAAAACCTGGGTACGTCTCTCTTCAGGATGATTCCTGGAATCCACGAACTCTCTCTTCTTGTATGTTACAGAGAAAAGATCAAGAGATACAACAAAGAAGAAGAAGATCAATCACACGAAGAAGACGAGTTGTTGAGCTGTTATAACGGCCAACTTATCCACTCAGTCAACGGTCAACGGACTTCTTGGACTTCAACCAATTACCTGGCCCAAAGCCACTTCTCCTCTTTGGTAGCTCTTCATTTTGGGCTTGACTACGCGAAGCCCAAACCTGAGAATGAAGAACAACTTCTCACAAATCACCACCTTGTTCGCATTCCCGACCCTTTGCATGTCCGAAACGCCGACAACCTCCGTGGATCCCGATCCTGGCACCGGTGTTAACTCACGCCGAGAACACCAACTTTTGAGCTTCTTTTCAACCAGAAAAGCAACGCTTGAGCTCCGATCTGACCTTTCGGAGGCTCCACTGTTGTCAAGCAAAACCAACGACAACAGCCCCTTGGGGTCCGCCGTCTTCTCGACTCACCGACGACGGCGCACCCCTCTGAAGCTTCTAGGCTTCGATCATGTTCAGCGTCTTCAAGCAATCGCTGAACTTCACTCCAGGTATAACCTTCGTTAACATGTCTGCTGGGTTAACCGAAGTGTGAATCTTTAGAACTTGTACATCACCATCGTCAATTGCTTCCCTGATATAGTTGTATTTGACCTTGATGTGCTTAGTTCTCTCGTGAAACATGTGATTCTTCGCTAAGTAGATAGCACTCTGTGAATCGCAATGAATCTCTATCGCTTCTTGCTTGAAACCCAACTCTTCACAAAACCCCTTTAACCAAACCGCTTCTCTGCTTGCTTCTGACAGGGCTATGTACTCTGCTTCTGTTGTAGATAGCGCCACCACCTTCTGAAGCTGAGATCTCCAACTGATTGTGTTGCCACCAGCCGTGAACACAAAACCCATGATGGACCTCCTTTTATCCAAGTGTGAAGCATAATCTGAGTCGCAGTAACCTTTCACCTTGAAGTCCTGACCCTTTACGAAAGTTAAGTTCACTCCTGCAGCTCCTTTCAAATACTTCATTATCCACTGAACAGCTAACCAGTGTTCCTTTGCAGGTCTCCCCATATATCTGCTTACCATTCCCACAGCATATGCGAGATCCGGTCTGGAACCAACCATTGCGTACATTAGGCTTCCCACTGCACTTGCGTAAGGTATGTCCTCCATTTCATTTGCTTGTTCTTGTTCCTGTTCTTCTGTAGTAGCTTGTAGCTTGAAATGAGACCCCATAGGCGTAGACACCTCTCTGCTATCCCACATTCCAAACGTTTTAAGAACCTTCTTTATGTACTCTTCCTGTGAAAGAACTAGAACACCCCTTTCGCGATCTCTGAAGATATCCATGCCTAAAATTCTTCTTACTGGCCCTAGGTCCTTCATCTCGAATTCTGAACTTAGGAGCTTCTTTAGGTTCTGAACCACCTTCACACTCTTAGATGCCAATAACATGTCATCCACGTATAGGAGTAAGTAGACCCTGTCTTCAATTGTAGAACCTTTCTGATAGACGCATGGATCGAACTTACTGCGCTTGTACTTCTGCTTAGCCATGAACTGATGAAACCTGTGATTCCACTCTCTAGGAGATTGCTTTAACCCGTAGAGAGACTTCTTTAACAAGCACACTTTGTCTTCTTGTCCTTTTTGCACAAAACCTTCTGGCTGATTCATGTAGATAGTCTCGTGTAGAACACTGTGATGAAAAGCTGTCTTAACATCCATCTGCTCCAATTCCATATCATGATTAACCACCATAGACAGTAGAATACGGATTGACACGTGCTTCACCACAGGCGCAAACACTTCGTTGTAGTCAACTCCCTCAACTTGAGCAAACCCCTTTGTCACTAGTCTAGCCTTGTATCTAGGCTCTTCAACTCCAGGGATTCCTGGCTTTAGCTTGAATATCCACTTGCAGCCGATAACCTTTTGATTCTTAGGTTTATCTGCTAGGTTCCAAGTGTGATTCTTGCCTAATGACTCAATTTATTCCTGTGCAGCTTGATCCCACTTCTTCCATTCTCGGCTTCTACGAGCTTCGGCAAAGGACTTTGGCTCGTCGAGTTCTATGGCTTCTGCACTGGCAAGGGCATACGCAACAAAGTTGCCTTCCCTGAACCTTGCCGGTTTCTTCAACTTTCTGCCAAAACTGTTCCTCTTCAAAGGTAAGCCTTCCTCATCAAACTCCTGAATATCTTGTTCATCTTGGTCCGACTGACTTATCTGATCATCAGCTTCCTCATCCGAAGAACTCTCATCCACATCTTCTTGTTCTGTCTCAGGGTCTGACATAGCTCCACCACGACTTGAAGATGCTTCTGCTGTGTTCTCCAAGGGCTCCACCTCTTCTAAGTTCTCCTTAAAAGTAACCCTCTTCTTAGCCTTTACCATATTCGCATCTGTTGATATGTCTACGTCCTTGAATAACCTGTCTTCATGAAATATGACATCTTTGCTCACTATAACCTTCTGATCATCTAGGAGCCAAACTCTGTAGCCCTTAGTACCTTGCGCATATCCCACAAAAATCCCTTTAGTTGCTCTAGGACTGATCTTATCTTGAACCGTATGAACATAGGCCATACACCCGAACCTTCTTAGATGACTGTAGTCCGGTTTACTTCCTGTCCATAGGGCCTCTGGAACTTCGAAATCAATAGATGCAGACGAAGACCGGTTTATTATGTAGACTGCTGTATGAGCTGCTTCTGCCCAAAACTCTCCACCTAAGCCCGTCTCACTTAACATGCTTCTAACCTTATTCATGATTGTCACGTTCATCCTCTCTGAAACGCCGTTTTGTTGAGGGGTATAGGGACAAGTTTTATGTCTCTTGATCCCTGATTCTTTGCACAGATTATCAAATAGATTGTTGCAGAACTCTAACCCGTTGTCTGTTCTTAAACATTTCAGGTTCTTCCTGGTCTGATTCTCCACTAGCTTCTTCTATTCCACGAAGTTCTGGTAAGCTCTATCTTTAGTCTTTAGGAAGTAGATCCATACTTTCTTCGAGTAATCGTCTATAAACGTCAAGAAGTATCTGTTTCCTGATAGACTAGGAGTTACGTTTGGAGAATCCCACATGTCTGAGTGGACGTAGCCTAGGATCTCTGTTGTTGTGTGTTTCCTCTTTGGAAAACTCTGCTTATGCGATTTTCCCATTGTACAGGGCTCACAAAATCCAAGCTGCTTGATGTCATCCTTCTTCAAGTATCCCTTCCTTACTAATGCCTCCATTGAAGATTGACTCATGTGAGCAAGCCGTGAGTGCCACTTTCTTGTCATGTCAACAGGTACTCTCGCAACGTTTGCTTGTGCTTCTCTGATATTTCCTTGTAGATAATACAAGCCTTGTTCATACTTCCCTGTTAACACTCTCTTATTGTCCTTGTAAAACACCACCGAGAAGTCTTCACCACTGTACTTGCATCCGGACTGCTCAAGCTGACCATAGGAGATGAGGTTTCTGCCCATGTCTGGCATGTACCTCACGTTGCTCAAATTCACCACCGTGCCATCAGGGTTGTCTATGGTAATCTTCCCTAGACCTTTCACTTTGCAGTGAGTGTTGTTTCCCATAAGCACTTTGTGTCCCTTACATTCCTCAAATTCAGATAGTAAGTCCTTTCTTGGTATGATGTGAAACGTACAGCCCGAGTCTAGAACCCATTCATCTGTAGCAGCTTGTAGACTCACTGTTAGGGCTATAGGTTCAGGAAGTTTTACTGCCACGTTAGCTGAGTTGTTTCCTTTTGCTTTACGCTTAGGGCAGTCCTTCTTCCAATGACTCTCATCCCCACACAACCAACAAGCTTTAGGCCCAAATTTGCTCTTAGATTTAAACCTATGCTTCCCGTTTCCTTTACTCTTTCCTCTTCCGTTGTTTGATCTGTTTTCACTCCTTTTTTCAGGTCTGCCTCTCTCTTCAACGTAGAGTCCTTCTGACGTCTGTCTTGACTTATTCAGTAATCCTCTCTGCCTTAGCTCTGCTTCCTTTGCATACGTCGATGCAGTAACTTCGCTCACTGTTAAGGTTTCCTTTCCCGTACCATATTTCAGAGTGTGAACTAGAGGTTCATACGGCGGTGGAAGACTGGTCAGAAGCTGAATTGCTTGATCCTCTTCACTTATGATGATCTTCAAGCTTGCAAGATCAGCAATAAGCCTCAGAATGTATCATAGTTTTCCTCAATGGTACGATTCTCATCCATCTTGAATCCAGCAAAGCTCTGCTTTAGGTATATCCGATTAGGAAGAGACTTTGTTTGATAGTCACTTTCTAATGCTTTCCACATTCCCATCGCAGTTGGCTCATGCATAATCTTCCGGAGGATCGAGTCAGTGAGGCAAGTTCCCAACAGATTTCTGACTCTTAGATCCATGGCTTCCTCTTTAGGATCCATTCCCATATCCCTCACAACTGATGCAAGGCCGGATCTCGTATCTCCTGGGGTGACAACTCCTGACGCTCCCGTCCCTGGTGTTGCTCCTCCCATATGTGACACTGTCTCTGAGACTTGCGACGTTGATGAAGTCGCCTTCTCCTTCAAGACTGACCCTAACCCCTGAATCTCCAGTTGACCGAGGAATCTGTACTTCCACATCCCGAAGTCACCTTTTCCATCAAACTTCTCCATCTCAAACTTCCCTTGCGTAGGCTCCATATCTGACTCGCTTTCTTTTTTGTTCTGTTACCTGCATATAACAAAATCAACAGAGGAGAACGAATCATAGGTTTCTGATCCTCGCATGTTTCCTTGATTTTCAAATCACGATGAGAAGTTGATTCCGAAAAGATTCACTAAGGTAAACAGCACGAGTATATCACAGAACAATGAAACTCCCTGAGTTTGCTGATTCGGTGATTGCTCCTTTGTCTCCAGGTGTGTAGATCTGCTTCACCGAGAGTCCGTGAAGCTTCGCGATCACCTTCTCCTTGAACCGGTGAACTCCGATCCTTCTTGTTGCTTCGAGTCTTACGATCCGATCGTCTCAGTATCTCCGAACGTCTATAACCACGCTCTGATACCACTTGTAACCGATACTTCGCCGATCTAGCTCCGACTCAGGTAACGCTCTGTATCTCGGTCTCTCTCTCTCTCTCTCGTCACTCGTGTGTATCAAGTAAGAAAAGGAAAAACGAGACTCAATATTTTATAGAGTTCCCCAAAACCTGGGTACGTCTCTCTTCAAGATGATTCCTGGAATCCACTAACTCTCTCTTCTTGTTTGTTACAGAGAAAAGATCAAGAGATACAAAGAAGAAGAAGAAGATCAATCACACAAAGAAGACGAGTTGTTGAACTGTTATAACGGCCAACTTATCCACTCAGTCAACGGTCAATGGACTTCTTGGGCTTCAACCAATTACCTGGCCCAAAGCCACTTCTCCTCTTTGGTAGCTCTTCATTTTGGGCTTAACTACGCGAGGCCCAAACCTGAGAATGAAGAACAACTTCTCACAAAATAATTAATTGTAGTACATTCCTAACATCCTTTTAAACTAATTAATTAATACATTGAATCATTAATTGTGCCGAGCTGTCTAATAACGTACAGGCAATAAAGAGCTGTTGAAATGCATGCCACTGAACCGGAACATCCAGAACAAAAAGGGCATGACAGCCCTTGATGTCTTACGATCCAATGGATCTGACATGAGCAAAGATACAGAGAAAACCCTACAAAATGCCGGAGGTAAGACCAAGGACTCTCTATCCAAAGTGAAGACAATGTCTGCTTTCCCAAGAATACCACTCTCTTTTTGGGAATATTGCTCAACGGGAATGGCACGTTATAGAAGTCGTATGTCGGATGGAACACGTAACGCTCTTCTCGTGATAACAGCTCTAATAATCACAACTACTTATCAGACCGCTGTCCAACCGGATGAAGACGATACTGAGAACCCAGAATATATAACTTATAGCGAATATATGAAGGCCAAGATATCAAAGATTGTGATACTATGTGGATTCAATAGTACAGCGTTTTGCTTGGCTATTGCATTAACATTTATACTCTTACCAGTTGGTAAAGCATACAAATGGTGGTATATCTGTATTACGCTGCCTCTCGTTTGTTCTTATGCACTTTCGATTTACTTGAAGTGTGATTTCCGGTGGACGGTGATCTCCACATCGCTCGTCAATGTATACTTCGTGTTTATACTTAGACTTCTCGTTTATGTACTTGTATTCTACGTAAGGTGGAAGCGGACTATGCAGAAGAATGTACCGGAACCCAAAACTGAGCTGCTTTCCGAAGATTTCAAGACCATGGTTTAGACTTTTCAAGCGTTTGTGAAAAAATATAATAAAATAATTCACATTACTTAGACCACCTCTAACACTAAAAAGCTTAAATTGAGTTTCTAAATTATAAAATATTAATATATTAATTTGATTTATTTAAAATACTACTTTGATTCATTGATTAAATGACAGCTGTTCTTAATAAGTAAAAACAGGTTCTAAAAGCTTTCATATCAAAGCCCGTTTCTAACATTTTTCTTCTTCTTTTTTTTTTTTATTAATTTATTACTTTTTATCATCCCTTATATATTAATTGAGAAGCATTTTTAAAGAGTAACTTTATTTTTGTAAGTATTTACAGTGGTGCCATTATGCTGATGTGTTAACTCCACATTCATTCTCAGCTAATTTTTTTAAAAAGACTTAGAATACTAGACTAATAACATGATATGTCATTGTATATTTAGCTCCATAAATATGTTATATTTTATTTTTAAAAATAAATTCAAAACATTAATATTAGAATTAATAATTTAATAAAATAAAATTTGTTTAATGCTAATTATAATATATACAAAATTTATTAATAATATTTTTAAAATATTATCCATATATATTTTATTATAAATTCATAATAACATACATAATATTTATAATGTTTACTGTTTTTATAATTCATAGCAAAATATATAATATTTTTCAATGTTTACTACTTTAAAAAAATATCTGCTTATTGATTATTCATAAAAAAATATTTTTATAAAAAAAACTAAAAAATTAGAAAATATGTTTACTATTTTTACTAATTCAAATTCATAAATAAATATATAACAGTTTACTAATGTTTACTAATTTTATTAGAAAATATGTTTATTAATTGTTTATTAAAAATATTCTTAAAAATATAACAGAATAACTAATAATAATATTTTATTTTTCTCAAAAATCAATCAGAACAAATAAAAGAAAGTCATAATGGTTTTATTCACATATTGTTGTGTGAAAACATATATAATACTTCAAGCTAAATATTTTTAAGTGTATATCTTTTAACAATTCATAATTGTATATACAAAAATATATTATTAAAAATATATGTTATTTTCATCACAAATATCAGTTGAAAATAAAAAAATGTCATAATGACAAATTTTCAAAATTATTATGATATATATTATTAATATCCAGATTTACTATATAAGGAAATATAATATATTGCATTATGGTTTAATTTATATATGACTTTTATATCATAAATATGGTATATAACATTATTGTTTACTTTTTATTTGGTAAGAGATCATAACATGATAATACCAATAATAATTGTTTATTTTTTTAATTAATGTTTGATTTATCATATACAGTATCAAATTTTCAGCAAGATTTGTTTATGTTTTTTTTGTTAGTTTGTCAGCTTTAAATTAATCAATTTAATTACTGTAAAAATACTATAAATTAATAATATTATGATTTCAATATTTTATTAATTTATAGAATTATAAACTTATCGGTTTTAAATTAAATAAATGATTTATTAATAATTGATTAAAAATTATATTTGCTTTAAATATTTCACTTTTAAATTGTAGATAAACCATAGCATTATTTCAATTTTAAGAAAAAGAAAACATTATATATTCATATTTTAGTAAATTATCATAGCTATATATTTATATAAGATTATTTTATGGTAATTGTTAATTTATGATACTAATGGAACCATATATTTATATATATTTTCCTAAAAAAATATTATCTTATCGATTTGTATCATATTTTGAACAAGTCTAATTTGAGACTAGGAAAATTTATTAATTTATTTTACTAATATTTAATAGATAAGTAACAAACTATTTAAATAATAATAATTAATTATTTAAAAGTCAAATGTAATTAAATATATACATAAATATTGTATACCTAAATCTTGGATATTAGTGAAAATAATGAATCATATCATCAATCACGAGATATAAAAAATCTGTATGGTAACTTCGTATTTCTACTAAGCTATATCATGTGCTATGCATGCTACTTAATTTTTAAATTAATTTAAATTAATTAACATTACAATTTAATTATCTTATATTTCATAAAAAAACTATATTATCAATGTTATAGTATAATTTTATATAAAATTTATATAAATTTAATCATATTATACTATATGATTTTAACATTATATTAAATCTAAATTAATAATAATTATTTTACCCTGTAAAGAGGGTGCGAGTTATTACCTAGTTAAGATATTATGTTAAAAATCTTCCATTGAAGGTGTTTTTAGTGTCTGTTTCAGTGTACTCATCAGACAGTTGTGAAATTGTAATAATAGAATTCATATCACGTGTGTCACCAATTCAGGAATATATAATAAATATATGACAGCAATATACGGTTAGTTGTGGTTAAAATAATTCTACTTGTATTCACGTATCAAATATTAATATTACAGTAGAATTTTTATAAATTAATAATCACTATAAAGTAAAAATATTTATCGATTTAAGATAGTCTAGTGTAAAAATTCACAAAATTTAATCAGACAATATTTTTTACAAAACTCATATATAAATATATAATCCTAATAATTAGATAGATTAATAAATATATAAATATATATAAAACTAATGTAATGTAGTAACTGAATTTTATCTCACAAGTTTTTATTAGCAGCAGTATTTCATTCTTTTTATTATAGTGATAATCATAAGTTTTTTCAGTTTTCTTAATTTTCCAAAAATTTCATTCTCTCTCTTAACAATTATTGATCAATTTTATATACAAAAATACTTCATCTCCTCTCTCCACAATTTTCTCTTTCTATTTTCAAATTGAAGCTTATATCTTTTAAAGTTTTTAAGTTTTCACTTTTAGTTAATTAATTTATATTATTCCAATGAAGCTGTCCACATCAGCAATTTTTTTAATTTTTATGGGATTTTGAATTTTTATTTTTATGGGTTTTTTTACATATTTTATTTATACAAATTTTACAAAATACAAACTACAAAAAATTTATAAATTATCAGAAGTTTTTCCTTATATTTACATGAGCTTTAATTTTGTTTGTATGGGCTTTGACATATTTTGTATATATACATTTTACAAACTACAAAAACTGTAATTTGTCTAATTTTAATTTTTTAAGTGGGCTTTTATATACATATTTTTTAGATATTCACATGACATAATTTAAAAAAGAAAAACACAAACATTTATTCTACAAAGTACTTCTTAATCTAAATCAAAATTTTATTTAAGGTTTTATTTCAGATTTAGTCCTTTTAACTATTATATGTTATTATTATATATTTTTATAATTTTTTTGTAATTATCTTATCATTTGAAAAAAACATGTACAAACTAACTTTTCAGATTTAGTCCTTTTAACTATTATACATTATTATTATATAGTTAAGTTAGTTTGTACATATTTAAAGTAAAATCATTCATAAATTCATCCCTTAAAATTTATGAATAAAGTTTTAAAAAAATCATTCATATCCAATAAATACATATTTTACAAACTTTAAAACCTACAATTGTTTTACGAAATAAAAAATTCAAAATATTATTTCAAATATGTAACAAGAGTTGGAAAGTGAATAATTACGAAAGACAACGAAAGGACTGGTAGAGAATAATTATTAAACTTTTTTAAAAACTTCAGAAAGATTAATGCATAAAATTAAAGTAAAATCATTTATATCTACTTTACTGTCTAAAATGAATGAAGGATGTTTCATAAATAAATAAAAAACTAAAGTGCTTATACATATAATACTTATCAAACATTTCTTTCTCAACAATGTTAATATAAAATTAATATTTGATGACTTTACTCATCAATCGAATAATATAAAAAATTTAATATGAAGTGTATAAATAAATTAAAACAAAATTATTGATCATACTTTTTTTAACAAAGCCATGTCTTTGCCGTTTATCTCTACATGACATGAAAATACACAAAAGTACACATTTTCTATAGTTAGGTGGATGAACACATCAGAATTGCTTCTTGAAAGAAGATAAACACTTCAAATCAATTAAAATTAACAATTTATCCAGTAAGCACAATGTTTGATATTAAAATCTATTAAACATATGTAACATATGAACAAATTTTTTGCTCTATCTCACCCATTCTAAATACAATTCTCTTCATTTAGAGTTATAACCAATCACAAAACTGAATGAAATAAAAACTTGCATGAAATAAGAGAAAATATGAGTATAGTTATATACTTCCTCTCTTCATAAAAGAATGATGTTTTGGAATTTTTTACACTAGTAAGAAAATATATTAAAACTTCATTATAAATACATTATTTTTATGATTAAAATTCAAATCAATCGTAATTCAATTAATTCTTTTGAAGATTACATTTCTTCATCATTGGCTTAAAAACGCATAGAAAGGTTTAAACATCTAACTTCTATCTTTATGAAACAAAAATAAAATTTTTCTTTATACAATAGAGGGAGTATATTTTACGATAACCAAAAAAAAAATATTGAAAAAAATAAATATAACATACTATATAATATAGAATAAACATGTATAAATAGTAGGATAAATATATAAAATTTAAAATCATATATATAATTAGAGAATTTTTTCTCCATCTAGAGTGTCCACATCAGCATTTTAATTTTAATTTTTTGGGCTTTTAAGTATTTTGGGTTTTCACATAATATTAACTAATGTGAGTTTATTTTTATACAGGTTTTTTGGACTTTTTAAGATATTAATTTAAAAAACAAAATACCAATTTACAAAACACAAAAGCTGTATGTTTTTTATAAAAAAAAAGTATGCTAATTCTAATAAGAAACGAACAGGATGTGGAAACAGAGGTTAAATTCAAACAATGAAAGAGCTTGCACAAAATAGTTGTTGAAGTTTTTTAAACAAAAATGTTCAAAGAATTGTATGCAGAAAAATAAAATAAAATCATTCATACTTTACGTTGTAAAATGAATGAAAGTTTTTCATAAAAAAAAGGCTAAATTTTTGCTGTGGAAAAAAGACTAAAGTTTAAAATCATTTAGCATAAAAATAAACTTGACCTATAGAATAGGTGACGATAGAAAAAAAAAGCTATACAAAAGAAAAAAAAAAGATTTCGGATTGTTGTGATTGAGAATGATTTATAAAAAGTTTCTCTCCAATGAAGCTATACAGCTCAGGAAGTAGTTTTTTTCTTTATGGATTTGTACATATTGTGATCTTTTTTTATCAGCTTATATATATTTTAGGTTTGTATTTTTAGGCGTTCATACAAAATAAATTTAAAAGTAAAAAAAACAAATACTTATTTTACAAATTATAAAAACTAAAAAAATTATGAAATAAAAAAGTGAATATTATTTAGAATAGAAGACAAAAAAGTAAAAAAAAAGTTGGAAGGCGAACAAATACAAAATATGACAAAAGAACTTTCGAATGATAGTTATCAATTTTTTTTAAAAAAAAACTTGAGAAGATATATATTTATATATATATGAATATATATATACTAATGTAAAATTATTTATATAAGTTAAATAATTATTTTATAAATCATAAAAACTACAAATTCTCTACAAAATAAAAAAATTCAAAATATTATTTCAAATATAAACAAAGAGAATGTGAAAAAGAAGTTGAAATGCAAACAAATGCGAAAGATGACCAAAGAACTTGCGGAGTTATCAAACTTATAAAGAAAAACTGGAAAGATAAATGTATAAAAATAAAGTAAAATCATTCATATCTATTTTATTGTGAAAATAAATAAAGGTTTTATATGAATAAAAAAGACCTAAATGTTTAATCATATAACATGAAATGAACTTGATCTATACGAAAGAAAAAAAAAAAAAAAAGCATGACTATTTGTGCTTCAGAATGAGTTAGAATTTTCCAAAATTTATGAAAAATGAAGAAGTTATTTAATTTAAACCATATTGAGATTGTTGATCTCGTCAGAAATGAGCAATATAAAAAAAGGTAGAAACTAATTGAATAGAAATATATGTAGTAGAAGACTTAAATGCTTATGACCGCATATAAATGTAGAAGAAGTTTTTAAACAATTCGCACATGTTAATAACTTCATAATATATCTATATATTTTAGTATAAAAATAATAAAAATAATTATAATTAAAAGAATTAAAAATATCTGTAAACAATATGAATAAATTAAAAATAAACATAATAATAATATAAATATATAAAATTATAAAATATGAAAATAGATTAATAAATAATTCTGCGCAACTCGCGGATCAAACCTAGTTAAATTAATAAATAAGTATGTGCAACGAATTAAAATCTACTATCAGTAACTGTGAAGAAAAGAAAATCGAAAAAACCCTTGAAATACAGTTGGGCTGAGTAAAGATTATGACTATATAGGCCTAGTCCAGGCCTGAACTAAATTCAACCGTTTGTTCTTATAAATACCTTGTTCCTCAGAAAATTCATCAGATCTAAACCCTAGAACCGAAAATATATATTATTGCCTCTGGAAAACCTAGCGCGCACACACACACACATCTTCTCCATGGAAGGATCCGTCATCAAAGTAATCTCTTGTTCGATCCTTAACGGCTTTCTTTAATCTCTGTTTCTCAATTTGAATTTTTCTGATTGGATCTTTTGTACCTTAGGGTCTGGAATTGCTAGAATCGAACGATAGTAATGATGTAGACATTCGAAAAAGCAAGTAGAAATTCTAACTGCAGGCATTGATTTTTTTTTCTTTCTTTCTTTTGAGATGCTTGTCTGTAAGATAATGTTTTGCTGTCATGTTAACACCTGCAACCAAATCTATTTGCAGTGGCATGGTGAGCAGGATTTGCGTTGAGGGATACGACACTTCGCTTCATGCCTATGATTTGGTAATCTCTATGAGAAAACACTTCGCTTCTTGTGGAGAGGTGATACATGTTTATACTCCCGGATACGCTGACACCCGTAAACTCTACAGGTTTGTGGCGTGCTTGGTCAGCTTTTAAGCTAAATGGCCACCCGTACGTTTATTCTCAAAACTCTTTTGATTGTGTGTTTACAGATTTGCCTTGGTTTATCTTCGCGGAGAGGATGCAGAAGAGAAGGCGTTGAAACTTAGTGGAAGCAGCATGGAAGGACGACACACGATAGTCGTTAAGGCCTACCCGTTTGGTGCCAACAACCTTGACTCTGAGTTGGCTCCTATGAGAGACGCAGACAATCGCCAACATTACATGTAAGCTGTCTCTTTGTAGATTCTTGTTTGTAAGATAGGTTCTTGTCATGTGGATAATATCATCTCCTGCAATCAAATTATTAGGATGGGAGTTAGGGGATATGCCAGTTCGCTTCCTGTGGATGATGTCGAGGACATGCTGATGAAACATTTCTCTGAATGTGGACATATGGTTCGTATTTCTGTTGGCCCCAGGTTTGTGACTTCTTCCTCGCGAATGTTTTTCATATAGCTCTCTATGTTTTCAAATGCTAACCAAAGATTTGTTTTTGTTTTTTGCTTTTTATAGCATGGCTTACCTTACTCTCGAGGGACAAGACACAACGGAGACGGCGCTGCAACTTGGTGGGGAAGGAATGGAGAAATTGGAAGTTTATCGGGTTGTGCCGCCAAATATTTACTCCACACCTAACATAATGCCACCCTGGTTTTATGAAGATCGTCCTCTTGCTAGGAGAGTTGCTCGTATAATCCGTGTGCCGTGGATGAATCTTAAGGATTTTTGGTATCAGATACGAGCTCCTCCCGAGCTTTCTGCTGAGGATTTGAAAAGATCGATTCGAGAGACCCCTGTATATCCCGAGATATTTGACTGAACTCCGTTCGGTTAATTTATCATTTTGTGAACGTGTGTGTGGAGCCAAGTCGCTATTACCTCTTAATGTTTCTAATGTTTTTGTTTATGTATTAAAACATGGTTCTTCCTTTGTTGATTGCTTTCAGTTATCAGAAAAAAAAATATATATATATATCTCGCTCATTGTGCCGTAATAGCACACAGTTTGTGTATTTTTTTTATTGATTTACTATGATGATATAATGTACATAGGATTTGGTTTGTATGAAAAACAATAAAAGAAGCACATTTTTAAACCACATTTTTTTTATTGATTTACTATGATGATACAATGTACATAGGAGTTTAGAGCATTTAGGTATTTTGTATATAAGTATAGATTTTGGGTTCCAAACCTAAACAGAAAGAATGCAAACATTCAATATAAACGACTTATATAATTTTTTTGGATTGCATATAGACCATCCAAATATTCTCTCATTTCAATTTCCTGAACTTCTAACCCAAAACACACTCTTAACCAAAACACGATTTCAAAGCCTTATGTAACTCAATGCCATCGCTTACAACCTTTGTGTCGCCAGCTCAAACTCATGACATATATCTTCACGATTTTGTCCTCTATAGTAGAAAATTCTGGCACAGCAATGGCATCTTTCTCAGCCAAATTAGTCAGCGTTTGCTACGTCGAAGTAACAATCCTGAGATTTCAAATGATCTTAATACACCCCACAATCAAGATTGACGAAAGTGTGATGTAAAGCAAGGAGAGAAAAACTACAATGAGCGAGGGCTACATAACATCTGAGAAGTTTTCTGTTGAAATGCATATCCAAATTGCTTTCTAACAATTTGAAAGAAAATAGAAAAAGATGAACGTACGTCTGTTGTAGTTTATTCTATTTGTATTTCAACTTAGCTTGATTCCTTGCACGTGCAAAACTATCTTCCAGATTAGATTCCTATGGTCAATCGCTCATTATAAACCCTGGAGACATAAAACAAAATGCTGATATTCCGTTGCACTGCTTTCACATGTGATGTTGTAGATCGTAAGCGATATGTTCGGGTGGATTTTCCCGAGCAAGACAGGTGGTGCAAGAAGAGGAAGAGTAAGTCCGGTGTTGATGTTAGTGTACAATGGGCATGACTGATGATAACTTGTGCAATCTTGTTATTCAGGTGACAGTGCCTGTAACAGAGTAAGCCCAATCTTGTTATACTTATATTAGATCAAAATGAATCAAAGAGAGAGCGAATGATACCTCTAATGCGTTGTCCAAGCTTCAAACTATCTTCTGATTCTTTTACTCTCCTATTCTTGATGATGTTATTGTAGCATTACTGCATTAATGTCATTTGTCTTCAGTAGTCTGAGGATTATGATAAGAGTTTAGATCGAGATTTGAAAGAGAAGAATGGAATTGTATTGATGAATCAAGAGAAATAAAGAAGAAAATCACGATCACATACGATCGGATCACTGATCACATATGATCAGAGAATCGCACATACGCAGATTCTGTTACAACTGTATATTTCTCGATAGCTCCATATGTAAAACGAATCAACTATTTATATTCAGTTTCTCGAACAACTTTTCACTCGAGCTAGTCCAGCTCAGCTGTTTTCTCTTGACTTTCCTCTTCTCTGTTGACTTCCTTCTTCTTCCTTCTCACGTATACACGATGAATCGTATCATTACCTCCCCCTTTGAAAACAAGCTTGTCCTCAAGCTTGAATGTGTGAAACTGTTGAAAAAATATACGAGAAGGCACCCACGTATTCTCATTTTCCAACAGGCCTGTCCACTTCACTAAGAACTCAACCTCCCCTGTTTTTGAGTGTCGAGAGGCCAATATAGATTCAGGTTCCAAGCGAATAGACTCCAAATCTGTATAAGAAGGGGGAAGCGATTGTAGCAGTTGTCCCTGACCAAGGGCTCCTTTACGTTGTGAAACGTGGAAGACAGGATTTATCTTCGACGATGGTGGTAACTAGAGACGGGACGCCACTTTCCCGATCCTTTCCAACACCTCATACGGACCAAAAAATTTAGCCGCAAGCTTAGGGCAGTAACGCTTCACCACCGTATTCTGCCTATAGGGTTTCAGCTTGAGGTAAACCCGATCTCCCACATGAAACTCGAGGTCACGGCGATGCTTATTAGCTTGGCCCTTCATTAAATCTTGAGCTCTCGCTAAATTAGCCATAATTTGTACCAACATGGCATCCCTCTCCTTCAACGCTTCCTCCAACTCGAAGTTATTCGTGGAACCTTCCTCAAAACGTACAATTGCAGGAGGTTCTCGACCATAAACCACCTGGAAAGGAGACGCCTTCAGTGATGAGTGAAACGATGTATTGTACCATAGTTCAGCCCACGCAAGGTAACGAAACCAAGTCCGAGGTTGGCCTGAAGCAAAACAGCGTAAATACGTTTCTACACATCTATTTAACACCTCTGTTTGCCCATCGGTCTGTGGGTGAAACGCCGTACTGTACTTGAGTTTGGTCCCTGACAATCGAAATAAGTCTTTCCAGAATCCGCTTAAGAAAATACGGTCCCTGTCTGAAACAATCGTCTTGGGAAAACCATGATGTTTGACGACTTCAGTCATGAACTTCTGAGCCACATCCACGGCTGTAAAAGGGTGTTTCAACCCAATAAAATGGCCATATTTGCTCAGACGATCAACGACTACCATGATGACATTGGTTCCTTGAGAAGTGGGGAGACCCTCTACAAAATCCATCGAGATATCCTCCCAAATTTGAGTGGGTATTGGTAACGGCTGAAGAAGTCCCGCTGGTGATAGTGTAGAGTATTTGTGAGTTTGACAAACATCACACTTAAAAACGTATCTCTGAACCTGTTTCTGCATCCCTTCCCAATGAAACGTCCGTTGTAGGCGCTTCAGTTAATGGTCTCGCAATAGCACCATATCCCTTGATATACTTCCGGTAATAGCCTGTCAGCCCCAAAAAACCTCGAAGTTGTTTGACTGTTTTAGGTGTAGACCAGTCTCTCATAGCTTCTATCTTGGCAGCGTCTGTAGCTACTCCTTCCTCTGAAATCATATGGCCCAGATAGTCGACTCTTCGTAATCCAAAGGAACACTTTTTCTTGTTGGCCAACAATTTCTGCTATGCAAATATACTCAGCACCACTCTGAGATGTTCGGCATGTTCTGTCACGTTTTTACTGTAAACCAACACATCATCAAAGAATACCAGTATAAACTTCCGCAGAAATGACTTAAAAATCTTGTTCATAAGTGCTTGAAAGGCTGCTGGGGCATTCGTAAGACCAAAAGGCATCACTAAGAATTCATAGTGACCCTCTACTGTTCGAAAAGCTGTCTTCATAATGTCCCGCTCTTCCATTCGAATTTGGTGATAACCTGAACGTAAGTCCAGCTTGGAGAAGATTGTTGCTCTGTACAATTCATCAAGGAGTTGGTCGATAACCGGTATTGGGAATTTATCTGGAACAGTTGCTTTATTCAGTGCTCTGTAGTCAATACAGAACCGCCAGGAATAATCTTTCTTTTTAACCAGAAGAACTGGACTAGAAAATGGACTAGTACTTGGCCTGATAATGCCTGACTCGAGCATTTCAAGGACCGTCTCCTCCATTACCACCATAGTAGCCTGTGGGTACCTATACGGACGCACAGATATCGCTGTTACTCCTGGATAAAGATTGATTGCATGTTCTTGTCCTCGGACAGGAGGAAGACTTGTTGGCAATGCAAAAACGTGACTGAATTCTTCCAGGAGTGAGATTAGCTGATCAGGAATGTTCTGAATGGGCGATGTTACCTCCCCATTGATTGCTAAAAGCTCTCCTCTTCCTTTCGCAACCATGGTAGAGATAGGCGACAATGACTTCATGGAGAACTTGGAAGTATGAATAGATGGATCTCCGAACAAATCCACTCTCTTGCCTTGATAAACAAAGGATAGTTCCTGTTTCTTCCAATCCACTTCACATTTCCCTAAAGTCTCAAGCCATTGTATACCTAGAATAACATCAACCATTCCCAATTCCAAAGCTATAAAGTCTGATGTGAACGAGACGTCCGACAACTGGAATGTCAATGAATTGCATACGCCAATGCCTTTGAAAGTTACGCCGTTGCCTAAGAGGACATCTAGGCTTGATTCTTCACAAACATTTAACTGAAGCCGCTTCACCACCTCAGGAGTGATGAAGTTGTGTGATGCACCACTACCTAACATCACTATCACATCAGTCTTGCTAATCTGGTCGTACAGTTTGGTTGTTTTTGGTGACCGGATGCCAAGAAAAGAGTTCAATGATAGAGTTCTCAATTCTTGCATTGCTTCGAGGAATATCTCTTCCTCCTCACTATCTTCGCAGTCATCCAAGACTTCCATTTCTAAGCCATTGAGGACTGTGATTATACGGAGCTCTTTGTTAACCCATTTGTGAGCTCGTGTCCACCCTTTTGCTTTACACTTAAAACAGATCATATCTTTCCTCATCTGATCCAATTCCTCTGGAGTGTATTTTTGTTTAAACCGCCCCTCGTTGTTTCTCTGCTGCCCAACACTGTCTTTTCTGTCCTGATTCTGACCTGACTGCAGACAATTGTTGGGGTTTCCTTTCAACTTAGTGTTAGGGCCATTACGCTGAGAATTGTAAACTGAAGACGATCTCAACGGATACTGTTTCGTTGTCCTTGTATCCCCTGTCACTGCACTGCTGACTACTTTGCAGAAGGCACTTGATTCCATCCGTAAAACCGCTGCAATATGATTTACCAATCCCACTGGTTCTTTCATTCTTATGACCTCTTTCATTTCTTGGTTGAGTCCATTGTAGAAAATCTTTGTTAAATGCTCATCATCAATCCCCTCAACAAGTTCTGATAACTCTTCAAACTCAGAGATGTAGTCTGTGATTGATCCCGTCTGTTTGATAGAGAACAAGCGAACTGCTGGATCCTCCTATAACGATTCTGAGAACCGCAATGCCAGTTTGTTCTTGAAGTCTAACCAGCTGTCAAAGCCCTTTCTCTTTAACTCCCAAGCAAACCATTTCTTTACTCGACCTTCAAGACTCAACGCAACCATCTCAAGTCGTTCATCTTCATCATAATGACCAATGTTGAAGAATCTTTCGACATCCTGTATCCATATGTATGGATGCTTCCCCGAGAAAGCTGGCATTTCGACCTTCTGTAACATACTTTCTCTCGTAGCTAAATTCAACTTTCCAGATCGATAACCTAGCTCATTATTTCCCCGGTTTTATTCCAGATTATTCGAGTGTACCTTATTGGAGTTTCTGGAATGTGGAGCTGTTCGAGGTCTTGCCGTTGTTTCTTCCTTTTGTGCCTCAGATTGTTGCAAGAGTTGAATGATGGAGTCCATCTTTCCGTCCATATCCGTAATCTTGTTGCCGAGATTCCCCAACTTTCCGTCAATCTCTCTGAGAAACGCTTCACATTCTCCTTATGTGCGACATTCAGGCGTTTGTAGCCGCCTTTGACGAAGCGCAAGCTCATTTCGCTCTCCGCGATGTCTTCTTCATCGCTAAATTGTTGTTCTCCCTCAATCGATTGTTGTGATGTTGTTGCTGCTTCTCCAATTTCTGTTGATTTGAAACGAATTGGAGTAGCCATTATCGTCTCCGTCGTCTTGAATCGCTGGATCACAGCTGAAATTCGCCGGAAACGTCACTCCTCCGTCGCGTTAGTTTCGACTCAGTTTCGCACCAGTGATAGAGTTTAGATCAAGATTTTAGAGAGAAGAATGGAATTGTATTGATGAATCAAGAGAAATACAAAAAAAGATCACGATCACATACGATCGGATCACTGATCACATATGATCAGAGAATCGCACATACCAAGATTCTGTTACAACTGTATATTTCTCGATAGCTCCATATGTAAAACGAATCAAGTATTTATATTCAGTTTCTCGAACAACTTTTCACTCGAGCTAGTCCAGCTCAGCTGCCAGCTCAGCTGTTTTCCCTTGACTTTCCTCTTCTCTGTTGACTTCCTTCTTCTTCCTTCTCACGTATACACGATGAATCGTATCAGATTGTTGATCTAAGACGTTGAATTAGTACTCCAACGGAAGTGAATCCATCCCCGTGAGCTTAGCTATAAGCCTCGAAAAATATAATCGTTGGAATGTTTCAAGAGCTCCTCATAATCGTCTTCTTCATGAATTCCTGAATTGGAAATTGGGTAATAGTTTTTCTCATACCAACAAATTATTGAATTCTTTTCTTACCCATCTGCTACAAAAGGAGTTCCAACAGTCATTAAAAGTAATCGAACAAACAAAACTCTAAAAACAGAACAAACTAAATAATAGATTATACTATTAAAAGCCATAACACGTACTTGTTTCTTATTTCTTGTTCACTTTCTTCTTTTCTTCAAGTATACAAGTTTGGTGTGCTTCATCTTCTTCTTTCTTGAATTTTGTTTGTCTATTTTGGTACTTTGATCACATGCATATTTACTTCAATAAAATGAATACCAAACTTTGAGATGCAGAGAAACTTTTACAGAGTACCAATTTACAGAATAACAATATGAGCCAAGTGAAGAAGATATGGTACCATTTAACCCCGCCTTAGTTGTTTGTTGATACAATTGCCACCTATAAACGATTACTAACATGAATCAATATAAGAGAAAATTGTATCTTACTGGGATATCCCAAACGAAATCACTATATGTATTATATTAATCTTCTGTACAAAAGCTAGCATCTCCATTCACTCTCAAATCCCTCGAAAAATTATCAAACCAAAAATCTTTAGATTCTCTCTTCCTCTACTATCATATCTAGAAAGATTCCAATGTTGATTGACATAATATAATAGGCGATTAGGATTGAAGAAGAAACACTCAAAGTTGAAGAAGCTCTCAGTAATAGGCGATTATAGTTGAATCTTGCTGCGAAAGAAATTTTAGTGTTTTTTAGAAAATAATGTCGAATGTTTTATAGGGGTGAAACTATGAAAAAATTAGCGTTTATTAGTTACATTAGGTTTAGCCGCATTAAAAATTAGGTTTAGTCGAAATTAATAACACAATATAATTTTATTAATAGAGATTATATTATAGTTATTTTAAGAAAATAATTATTGTTTTATTCAAGATAATCAGTTAAGATTAATATTAAATTGAATTATTTTTATTAACTAATTTTCATTAAGAATAAATCAAGTCTTTTCATATGTGGGGTAAAAAGTAATCAACCATCGTAACTTTCAACCACAATCCAATTTGCTTACCAATTAATAATATGATTAAATTTCATAATAATCTTTATATACATACGCCCACAGAAGACAAAACCAAACAAAATGAAATCTACCAAACAAAATAATATTGCCTTTATTTCTGTAAACAAGCCCAAGCTCACTCGAGCACATAAATTCCCTTGGACTAAGAAGTTTATAATTCGATTCTTTTCTAATTTTTGAGAAAATAGGGCCATGAGGATAGAATGTGAATTACTTTCACACTAACGATTAAGAAAAGTATGTTCGCAGCTAAATTGAGAACGATATCTGAAAGATAAATAAAACTTAAATAAAAATGGCTTCAAAGATATTCTCAAGAAATACATATGACTTTAACTGGTGATCACTAAATTAACAATATGAATGAATATGAAAAAGAATGAGAGGAACAAAATAATAGAAATTATCGTTTCTTCTCAATTTTGATAGGGAAAAAATTAACATTATAATTCTTTAAAACATAAGGAATGAAAATGAATCATGAGTACACTATATTCCTAATAACTGGTGTAATTTTTAAGGAATGATAAGAAATTTAGTATTCCTTGTTATTCTTTTGGTCACCAGTTAGAGCCATGATCTTCTCGGGTGGCATTACAACAAACACGAAATCTATACTATCAAATCGGCATATTGGGTGAAAACTCATTTACCTATAAATCCACGTATTATCCTTCCAGTTGGTGACATTGGTCAAAAACAGAGTATATGGAAATTAAATACAGCTCCAAAGTTCAAATATTTCCTATAGAGAATGGTTTCGCAGATATTAGCGACAAAGGACACTTTGAGGAGACATCATATAAGCCAACATTCAGTCTGTCACCGATGTTGTCGCTTCAATATCTTTTTTTTTTATTGTGAGTATGCACAAGTGACTTGGAGAGCTTCAGGAATAATGAATAGTTCTCTTTTTGAAGCGAACTATTGGAATCCAGAGACTAATGTTTTTGAGTACCTGATAACACCTTCTTCAGCGCCTTCTGATATTGAGGAATGGGGAAGAGCGATTCAAGAGCGCACGACCGCCGGTTTAGTTGACTAGCTCTTCAAATACGTCTGTTTCTATATACCATTTTCCTTAGATAATTTAATCAACTTTCCTAATTTAATCTGAAACCATTTCATTCTCAACTCTATTATAGTTTTGAACATTTAGAGCATCTCCAACCCCATTCTAATTATGATGCTATATTCTATTTTAGTATAAATTTAGCTACAACCCTATTCTATTTTTGATTCTAAAATAGAATAATGTTATTTTTGTTCCAAATTTGGAATCATCTCATTTTTAATTCTATTATAGAATTGAACTTTTTTATTTATAAATTGGTCCTTCAAATTTTAAATAGTTATACTTTAAAACTAATAAATTATTATTTTATTAATAACTTCTTTTTATTAATTAATTATAACTATTAGAACACTAAAATTTAAACAGAAATAATGAAATGCTAAGTTTTTATTTATCATTTTGATATAGTGTAATGTGTTTTAATATTAAAATAATTAAATTTAAAGTTTGGTATAATTTATTAAAGTTCTGAAAAAAATTATTGAATCAATTTATAAATTTTGAAAAGACTATGAATCAATTAGCAAATTAATAATAAAACAGAAAAAGAAATAGTATAGGAAATAGAATCATACATTGGAGAAAAATGCAATTCTATTTTACAATTGTTCTATTTTGAGATAAAAAAAAAAAATTATACATTAGAGATGCTCTTATATGCTTTTATTCAAAAGAATGCATGTGATTTTTCAAAAAAAGCCTCGACATTTTACGTTTCATGCACACCCTCCATGAAGCTTTATGTACTAAAATTAAGACAGATTTGGCGATGGAACTGATGATTTGAAAACATCAAATTCAAGACCCAACCGTTTGTTCTTAAGATATGTACAAAAGGAAAAGAATAGTTACGATTAACGAACCAGAATAATAATTAAAAAAGGAAAAAAGAAATGATTGTTAAATTTCTCAGAAACTTCATCAAATCTTAAATTCGCAGAACCGAAAAATATATATTATTGCCTCTGGAAAACCTAGCGCACACACATCTTCTTCTCCTCAACTTCTCCCATGGACGGATCCGCCATCAAAGTAATCTCTTGTTCGACCCTTACGGATTTCTTTAATCCCTATTTGTCAATTTGTTTTTTTCTGATTAGATCTTTTGTACCTTAGGGCCTGGAATTGAACGAAGGTGGTGATGCATGCATTCGAGAAAGCAGGTAAAAGTTGATTTTTTTTTTTTTTAGATGTGTATCTGCAAGATGTGTTGTTGGTTGTCATGTTAATAATATTATCAAATCTATTTGCAGTGGCATGATAAGCAGGATTTACGTTCAGGGATACGACACTTGGCTTCATCCCCATGATTTGGTAATCTCTATGAGAAAACACTTCGCATCATGTGGAGATGTGATACATGTTTATATTCCCGGATGCTTTTCCACCGCCCCCCGTGAACTCAACAGGTTTGTGGCGTGTTTTGTCAAAACACTTTTAAGCTAAATGGTCACCCGTACGTATATTCTCAAAACGCTTGATTGTGTGTTTACAGATTTGCCTTGGTTTATCTTCGGGGAGAAGGTGCAGAAGAGAAGGCGTTGAAACTTAGTGGAAGTAACATGATAGTCGTCGTTAGGGGAGAAGGTGCACAAGAGAATGCGTTGATACTTACTAGAACCAACATGATATTCGCTAAGGGAGAAGGTGCAAGGACTAACATGATAGTCGTTAAGGCCTACCCGTTTGGTGCCAACGACCTTGACTCTGAGTTGGCTCCTATGAGAGATGCAGACAATCGGCATCTTTACCTGTAAGTTGGTTTTTTGGAGATTCTTGTTTGTAAGATAGGTTCTTGTCATGTGGATAATATTATCTCCTGCAATCAAATTATTAGGATGGGAGTTAGGGGATATGAGTCTACGCTTCATGTGGATTATGTCAAGGACTTGCTGATGAAACATTTCTCTGAATGTGGACGTATCTTTCATGTTTCTGTTGGCCCCAGGTTTGTGGCTCGTGAATGTTTTTCCTATAGCTCTCTCATGATATCAAAGATTTGTTTTTGTTTGTTGCTTTTAACAGGTTAGCTATTGTTTCTCCTGTGGGACAAGACACAGTAGATAAGGCGCTGTAACTTGGTGGATGTATTGTGAAAGGAATGGAGAATTTGGAAGTTTCTCTGGTTGCGCCGCCACAGAAATGCACGATGTCTACCCTAATGCCATCCTGGTTTAATGAAGATCTTCCTCTTGCTACGAGAGTTGCTTTAAGAGTCGGTCTGCAATGGAGAAAATTTTGGAATAAGATACGAGCTCCTCCCGAGCCTTCTGCTGAGGAAAGGGAAAGAGCGATTCGAAAGAACCCTGTATATCCCGACCTATTTTACTGATCTCCGTTCGGTTAATTTACCATTTTGTGAAGGTGTGTGTGTGGAGCCAAGTCGCTATTATGTGAACTTTCTAATGTTTTCTGATGTTTTTGTTGATTAAACTTTCTAATGCTTTCTACAAATTAGATGATTATTATTCATAGCCGAGCTCGCTCGAGCACATAAATTCCCTTGGACTAAAAAGTTCATAATTCGATTCTTTTCTAATTTTTGAGAAAATAGGTCCGTGAGGATTGAATGTGAATTACCTTTACACTAGCGATTAAGGAAAATATGTTCGCAGCTAAAATGGGCGACGATATCTGAAAAAAAAAAAAAAAAAAACTTAAGCAGCTTCAAAATAAATAAGCATGGGTTTTTTTTAATTCGGATAAAGGCTTAATAAACTCGCACTGATTAGTATGACTGTACTTTTGCATTGGCTTTCCTCTGTGTTAGATCATGTTGCTGCTCTTTCTATATATGGGCTTTGTCATGTTTTTAACCACTTGAAACCCGACCGCTATTTTTCTGTTAATTAATCATTTTGTGAACGGGTGTGTGTGGAGCCAAGTTACTTCTAAAAGTTTATAATGTTTTTGTTTATGTACACAAATATGATATTAAAAGAAAGTGCATTGATGATGATATTGTGTTTATGATAAGAGAATAACGCATACGGGAGCTGGCTTACCAGAGTTTTTGCTAAACCAAATGTTTGGAACTGAGGAAGATGTGTCAGAGGAAGGATCGAGCTTGATGGTTAGTAGAAAACTAGTGAAGCTGATGAATGGAGATGTTCAGTACTCTGTATGCAGTCACGTAAAAACAGGGGTAAGAGCTTCAAACGGCGACATCTGATTCCATATATAAAGCTGCGTGAAGCCAGAAGGGAACAAAGTACGAGTGACCACCTTCTTCTGAATATCCCAAGCCCAGAGGCCAAATAAGATTAATTTAGCAATTTCGCATGTGAGGGGAATCGATCCCTGGCCTTGACCAATATAGCAACTCCTCCTTAAGTGGAAACCATTAGACTACCACCACTTAGTTTGGGAGACCTAAGTTGCTATTACATTTCTAATGTTTTTGATCTACGAGGGAAACTATTTTTTTATATGTATTAAAACAAAAATACTCGCTATGGTTCTGATGGATGTTCACGGGTTTGTTTGGTTATTAATTTTCATAATAATCGAGATTGACTAGTTTTAATTGGTGATTTTTGTTACTCAATAGACCTAATGCTTTTATTCAAAGGAATGCATTCTGAATGCAGAAATCCACACTAAGAAATTTATGTGTTTTGTAAGGAAAGAAATTTAGAAGAATTGAGGGTTAGATTCTCTCGAACAAATTGACAATATAAGCTAGCACTAACTAAAATAAGGATTTTGTATTAATCGGTCGAATGAAATGGTTACTAAAAAGATTTTAGTATAGAAGATGAACTCAATGAGCTTTGGGAGCAGTTACAAAGTTTATAAATGTAAAAAGTGTGTAAGAAGATCAAGCCGAAGGTCCCCTGAACTAAGCCGTTCTCCTTCTTTATATAGCTTGCCTCGTCGAGCTTCGAGCTCCAGCGCGTATCTCGGCCACATGCAGCAGCCTTAGCCAGATATCCCAGGTGCAGCAACTTCCTCCGCGATCTTCGGACTCGTTCGAACTGGCAAGAATATGCTCTGACTTGGCTCGAATTCTTCCTCGTTTTTGGGGATTTGGTCGAGCTGGAGCTCGACCTCGTCGAACGGAATATCTTGTTTGTTCAGAATCGGGTTATTAAAAGGTGAATGGGTCTGGGCTGTAAAAAAATATAGCTACGTGGGAGGACACAAGTTTGTCGTTGAGCCTTATCCGTTTCACGCCAACCACCTTGACTCTTGTGGGAGAAGACGCACTAGAGAAGGCGCTGCAACTTTGTGGATGTGATGGAGAAGGAATGGAGAAATTTGAAGTTTGTGGGGTTGCGCCACCAGAGAAAGATCCGTTGTTCTACTCTCTGCCATCCTCGATTTTTGAATCATCTTCTTCTTCCAGGACTAAGGTAGAGGCTCCTCCTGCTTCGACTAGTTTTATCCAGTACGAGACTTCAGCTCCTCCCATGCCTTGTGCTGGTCCACGATCCTCCCAAGCCCTTTTTGGTTCCAAGTCACTTGGACACCTTCTACTGAATGTCGCAGTGGATTCGCATGGTCAAGAGCGATTCAAGAGAGCTCGAGCGACTACTTACTTGCCGCGCAGCTTTTACCAGATCGGTGGTAAATAACTAAATATATTTTATAGTAATGATCCCCGTTCAGTTAATTATTCATTTTGTGAACGTGTGAACGTGTGGAGCCTTTCATTTTTAATGTTTCAATGTTTTTGTTCTACGGGGGAACCTTTCTTTTTTGTTTATGTATTAAAACAAAAATACTCGTTATGGTTCTCATGAATGTTCACACAGGTTTGTTTTGTTATTAATTCTCACAATAATCGATCCTTATATATCTGATACACCCACAATACCAAACAAAATGAAATCTACCAAACAAAATAGTGTTGCTTTTTTTTTTTTCTGTAAACAAGTCCTTCATCGCTTTCTAGAAACAAGTCGAGCTCGAGCACATAAATTTGCTTGGACTAAAAAGTCCACAGTTCCATTCTTTCTCAAAAATACGCGTGAAGATAGAATGTGAATTACCTTTACACTAGCGATTTTTTTCCTTGGTCTATAAGTTATACTCGCAGTTAAATTGGCTACGATATCTGAAAAAGAAAAAGAAAAAACTTAAGTCAAAAATGACTTTAAAATAAAATAAATACGCATGAAATTTTTTATTCGGATATAAAGCTTTTTATCATTTTCTTTTTTCATCATCATATCTACTTATTTCTAACAAGAGAAAATAGTGTGGTGATCTTCAGAGCAACTACAATGGTGATATATATTAATATTAAATATATTATTAATATAATAAATACTATGAGAGTCGATTCTTTAGACTCCAATATTGGAGGCGATTCTCGATTTTTTTCTTGCCAGCTCATTTTTCCTTTTCTTTTTTCTTTTTTCTTTTTCTTTTTTAGTTAGAACCTCTCATAAACTGACCATTGTGGGTGCCCTCATGGAGGATGTTCACAAGAAAGCTTTGGTACATAATAAAAATGAACAAACGTAATGTCTTGCGGTAATGGCGTCTTCACTAAACGATCAGCTGCATGATTAATTATAACTCTAGGTGTCTGTCCATGGAAAGACAATTTTGTTGAACTTCTGCTTCCAGAATTTGATTTCTCTGACCCAATTATGAAAATGAAAATTCAGTTATTTTTTCTGTAACCCAGAGATCATAAACACTTTTGTTATCTTCTTCAAAGATCACATCACGATATCCTTGAGCCAATTTTATATATCTTTTTGAAAACATTTCCTGTTTAATGATCATCCTAAGCTTTACTAGAGGAAGCAAAAAGGTGTTTACGTGGTAGAAATTTTACACTTTACCTTAGAAGTGATTCCAATACATCCATCAAATGCATAGGACCATTCATCTACAAACCAAAGTGCGACTAAGAAGAAACAAGTGCGATGTTAAGATGCTGTCGTTTCTTTATCCTTTTCCTCCTTAAAAAACCGTGAACGGCAGGATTCGAACCTGCGCGGGCAAAGCCCACATGATTTCTAGTCATGCCCGATAACCACTCCGGCACGTCCACTTGTTGACATGTTAAACGTATTGCTTATTAATATACGAACATGTTATCCAAACTATATAATATTCCTTCCTGCAACTGCAAGCGTGTTTTAATTTTGCTTTTTTTATTTTTTTGTAAATTTAAAACAAATATCAAAGGAATTGGAGAAAACACGCTTCTTCTCCCTCTTTCCTCACCGTTCCGACGATCAAAAGAACATCTCGAAAGATCATGAATCCAGATGCCGATCATCCTCAGCTCCCCAACATCAAGATCCATCACCCTCCTTCCCCTCGTCACTCTCACCACCACCACCACTCCTCTTCCACTCCCTCCTCCGCCGCAACCCCAACCCCCACCGCCGGAGCTCGCCGTAAGATCGGAGTCGCCATAGATCTCTCCGACGAGAGCGCCTTCGCCGTCCGTTGGGCCGTAGATCACTACATCCGTCCCGGAGACGCCGTTGTTCTCCTCCACGTTTCCCCAACCTCCGTTCTCTTCGGCGCCGATTGGGGGCCTCTCCCTCTCAAAAGCCAAGCTCCTCCCGAGGATCCATCCGCTCAATCCCAGCAATCGCAGCAGCCTAGCCAGGAGGATTTCGATGCCTTCACTTCATCGAAAGTGGCGGATCTCGCGAAGCCGTTGAAGGAAAGTGGGTTCCCGTATAAGATCCATATAGTGAAGGATCATGATATGAGGGAGAGGCTATGCCTTGAGATCGAGAGGCTTGGTCTCAGTGCTGTGATTATGGGAAGCAGAGGTTTTGGTGCTGAGAAGAGGCCCGGAAGTGATGGCAAGCTTGGCTCGGTCAGTGATTACTGTGTTCACCACTGTGTTTGTCCCGTCGTTGTGGTCAGATACCCTGACGATCGTGACGGACCTGTGCCTGTTGTTACCGTCAAGACTGGTGTGGATGATGATGGAGACGCTGATGAGGCTACTAAGCCCGTTGCTCATCATGACCACATCAAAGGTCAGGATCCAATCTCTCTGCGTTCGTGATTGATTTCGCTGCTTTTGTATTTTGTTTCTCATGGATGTTCGGTTGGTATCTTAGATTAGGTTCAGCGCTAAGTGTTGTGATTTCACTTGAATATGTGAGAGATTGCTTCTTCAGTATGACAATCATTGGTGTTACTCCTAGTTGAACATTTAGCATTAGTATATGTTATGAGATTGAAGCTACCTAGTGAATTTTTAGGATGAATATGAATGAATGATATGATAAGGTCAAAAGGCTGAAGGATCCATTTTGCCTCTGCTTGATTTATTCAGTGTATCCTCTTTGCCTATCGTCAATTCTTGATTGATTAGATACTTTTGTATTTTGTTCTTAAGAATGTTCGGTTGATATCTTAGATTAGTTTCAGTACTGAGTGTTTTGATTTCTTCTGTAGTCACTTGAATATGTGAGAGATTGCTTCTAGAATCATTGGTGTTAGTCGTAGTGAACATTTCGCATTACCTGTTTATGTTATGAGATTGAAGCTACGTTAATGTGAATGAATGATATGATATGGTAAAAAGGCTGAAAGATCCATTTTGCTTCTGCTTTGATTTCCTCTTCGTGTATCTACAAACCTTGAAATGGGTTTTGTGGAAAAATGGTTATTCTACTCCAGTAAATGAAAGTAAATATGGTTCTGTGATCGAAAGACCAAATAATAATGTCTTGTTTGTTCCTCATTATCCTGTGTTTCTATCACAGATGAGTAACGCTTCTAAGGATCTGGTCAGGTTCGCACTCTCTACAGAATCCAGGTACTGACATTAGCTATCTTTTTAGAGCTTTTATCGAAACATTTGTAATATTTGTTGATTATTCTTTCTTTCTGTGTATTTTGGAATTGAAAAGGTACACAAGTCGAGTAGAAGTTTTAGCGGAATGGTCAGAGGAGTGTTTGTGTGTTCTATCTATCTTTAGCTGTCACGATGTTGATGAATTTGTCAGGGTTTGTTTGGGATCTCTTCTCCATGTAATGGTTTCTGTATTAAACATGTAATGATTACTAAAAACAGTTTTTGCTTTTCCTTCTAGGAAGAAGAATGATTATGGGTCATCTTCAATAAAGACTGGTAGTTTAGGTTTGTTCTGTTGTGTGAGAGTGAATGTTTAAGTCTGTTTAGATTAGATTTGTCTTTTTAGTTACTGTTAAAATCATCAAATAAAGATTGGTAGAGTTGAGTTTTAAGGATTGAAGTTTGACTTCTTGATAAATCTTAAGGATTGAAGTTGCCAGGGTTTTTGAAAAGTTTTAAATTAAACAATACAAAACAGAGCAAAAAAAACTGTAATATATTCAAAGTTTGAAATTAAACACAAATAAAACATAACAAAAAAAACTGTAATATATTTTTTAGATGGTAACGTGTAAAACTTGTTTGTTTTTTTATGTCTAATATCTTTTGCAAGTCTAAAATATCTAGAGTCGAGTTGATGCCATCATATCCACAACGTTATTATCCGATGACTTATCCTGTTATCTAATTAGTGTATTATTATAAGTTATAACCATGTCTTTATTAAATAATTCTTATGTAATAGTACTTCTGAAATCTGAATCTTTTCAATAACAGTAAAGAAAAACTAATATGATCGGTCTGTGGAAGGAGGTGCAACAAGAACCACAAGTTTTTGTTAATATATTTAAATGAATAAAATAATATGGTAGACCGACGCTCGCCGTCCACTTCTCTAACTGACTCTGAATTGAATGTTTCTTTCAGTTGTTGATATAGTTTTATAATAACAAAACCACGAAAACAAATAAGATTGTATTATAAATAAAACTAATTAATAATATAGATACGTTTAGTATCTTTCTTTATCCCAAAAAAGAATTTAGTATCTTTTCTTTTTGGAGTTTACAGATCAAAATAGACATGATAAGCTCTCCACGCTCTTGACAAATCAAATTAAATTAATAAAAAAAAAACTTTAAAAGAGGGTCCAATGGAATTAATATTCTTTTTCAATTTTTTTTTGTGTAATCTCCACAACTTTGTTTCTTTTTTTTTTTAGTGGTCGCCTCGCACCTACTAACGATATTCATATGTTTTACTCTTCATTTGACACCGATCAACATCACACATTATTCGAAGGATATATAACATAACTGTTAAAACTTTTGGTTTGGATTGATAATTGATAATCCTTGCAATGGTTATAATAATTTATCATGCGTTCCTAGCCACATATTTGTTCATTTTTTCGATTCTGTAGATATGTATGCGGGTAAAATAATAGTTTAAACAAATAAAATGAACATGGTTGTAATAATACAAAAAGCTTAAACAGCCAAGGAAAAAAAAGCTTCAACGACTAACATTTGTTGTTCTAAAAGCAACTAAGAAGCATTAAGGAACTAACTCAACTCACTAAAACACGGGTTTTGTTAGTAATGAACGTTGGGTTTAAGCTACTAGAGAATCATCAACTGCTTTTGTTTGCGATTTCAAAGACGATGATGACGACGATGTATCACATCCCTTTGAGTTCATCACAGCCGTTGATCTTGACGAGGTTTCGTCTCTGGTTAATCTTTTCAAAGGTCGCGATTCCTCTTCCTGCGTTTCAAAAAACTGAAGCAATCAATTCGAGTTTTCTAAATTTGTTAAATAATCCTGGAAATTTGAAAGAGAGAGAGAGATTCTTACATCTGAGCAGTTCAGATCCAAACACCGTCGCGTTTTTTTCACCACCAGAACTCCGTCGACGAAAAACGCTTCCTCGCCGCAGCTAACCGAAGACGATGAACTCGTCTCCGCCGCCGCCCCATCCCATGGCACCACCTGATTCTCCGCCTCCTCTTCTTCTTCTTCTTCATCCTCGTCATCCTCGTCGCTTTCCTCATCTTCCTCATGGTCTTCATAAGATTCGGCGCCGTCGTCACCTCTCAACCGATCTCCGTCAAAATCGCGACCATCCACCTCCTGGCTAAGATCCTCCGTCAAAATCTGATTTCGGCCAGCTACCACGACGGAGTTGTTCTTCTTGCGAGCGACACATGACTCGCAGATGGAAACAGTTGGACCGAGACGGAGACCGGAGGCTTTCCAAGGCGTCGGAGATTGGCACGCGCTGCAAAGAAGGCAGCGCGTGTGCTTAGCCACCAGAAAATTAGCTCCGTGAACCTTGCCGTCGCAATCCCAGCATAAACTCGCCTCGTCTGACTCGCAGAACATCCTCGCTACACCACCACATAGCTCACACTTCTTCGTCCCCATCCTTTCTCTCTCTCTTTCTCTCTCTAAGATATTAACACTTCTCTCTCTCTCTATGAATATAAATATTCTTGGTGAGGTCTTTGCTTTTCTCTCTCTCCTCGTATCTTGTGCGGACAGAAATAGGGGAGCAAAATGGAGAAAGGGAAAGTACACATTTGCATATGAGAATTTCGTGGCGGGTTTTCTGTGATTTAATTCTTTGAGGGTATTTTCGTCTTTTCGAACCATTGAAGTTTTCGATTTTTCACATATTTAATTTAACACCCATATTCTGGACAACAATGCTAGGAAGTAATATTCTTTCCATGTTAAAAAAAAAAACTTTATTATTCGTTCAAAGCTCAGATTTACAAACTTATGGTGGATAATTTGTGGATAATTAGTGTATCAGTTCTATATTATTCTTGATCTTTTAGATTAGTATGTTCTGCGGCTGAGCATTATCTTCGAGTTCTTAAATTTATAGGAGAGATAAAAAAATAAGAGTATAAAAATTAATTGTTTTTTATTTACTTGGTCCTGAAACCGCGTACTGGGGGACAAGGCCCTATGGGCGCCACCTTACGTGTCGATATATAATTTGATGTATGCTCAACAGATATTTTCATGCGGTAGATTTTTTAAGTCGATGACGTGGCGAGATCTCAGCCCCGTAAGGAGGAGAGCAAGATTCTGATATATCCTACGTGGACGAATCAAGTTCTCAAAGAGACTTATAGCCACGTGATCCCACCTGGGAATTGTCTGGACCAAAATAAACGTTTACTGGGGTCCACACTCTTTTTGCCCTTTTTCTTTTGTTTATTCCTCTCGCCCCGGTCCAAGCATTTGTGTGAATAAGGTTTTTAATTTGGTTTGGAAAGAAGTAAATTTAATACTAGGATAGGCAAAATATCCGTTATATCCGCTTCGAACTGATATTTATTTTGATCCGATTAGAAAAATCCGGATATCCATAAAGCTTTGGAGCAAAGCAAATAGCAAAATATAGTATTTGTACAAAACGGAACAAATCACAAATATGTTTTTAGACAACGTTGGATATCCGATCTGATCCGTATCTTTATAAATTTATTATATATTAGTATATATTATCATATATATATCAATTATATTATAAATTTTTATTAATATATTCTTGATTTTTTTCCTAAATTTTCAACTTTTTCTAAATTCTTTTGATTATATAAATAAAATGACTAAATAACCAATTATAAAAATAAATAATATGTTTAAACTTAAAATATGTTAATAAATAATATTTTATTTGATATTAGTTAATAAATATCAATAAAAGTTTTTTTAGTAAAATTTAATATTAAAGTTTCAAATACTTAATATTATTTTTAAATATAAAATATCATTTTTTCCTCATCTTAATTTTGTAGGTTTATTTTTTATAAATTTTTTATAAGATAAAATGTTTTCTTTTAGTTATTTTCACTTAATAGTTTAGATAAAAATATTTTTTTATAATAAAAATTGATATACTTTCAGTTTTGCGTATATTAAACGGATCAAACTAAATATTCATAAATATCCGTAAATATCCGCAAATATCCGCAAATACTTGTAAATTTTCTGGATATCCGAAAATCTGGATATCCGTATATTTCTAGAGCAAATCAAATTATAAAATTAAATATCTGTTAAAAACGAAGTAAACCACAAATACTTAAAAATTTCTGGATAACCGATCCGCGTCCACACCTAAATTAATACATCATCATTTTGGTTAACGAGAGTCGTCGATAGGATAATACAGTAAATTAATAATGATGATATCAAAATATTTTTATGCGTTAGGGAAGTTTTTGGTGCCCATGGCCACTTATCAACCTATTTGCGAACTTATTAATGGTTAAATATTAAATGTGCGATCGGTTAGTAGTGATTGGCTTGATTTTTCCTACAAAAAATTGAAACTTATTCCTCCGATTCGGTTCGAATCCTCATTTGAAAGAGATGGTTTACGCCTTACAAAATAGTGTTATTGTCAACAACTCGTGGATCCGTGGAGACGACAGATTTCGGAACGAGACCATTGGTTATCATAAAAGCAATGAGTGATAAAATATCAAAGTGATTGCATGATAATTGATTAGTGAGAATGCTTCATTTAGCACTGTCGAACTCAAATTTGAGATTTGTCTCGAAAGGTATTATTTATAAAGTATAATTATGTTTGATGGAACTATATCATGCACGAATCAGAAAACATATAATACCTAATATAATTAACTTATGGACCATAGCTTTCTGATTTTTTTACGTTATTCATAATTACACCATAAAATATGTTGTTTTTGTGGAATTAACGTGTTCGGAACAACGTCTTATCACGAGAATCATGACCAATACTAATCGAAAGGATATATGTAACATCGTAATGACAACAAATAATATGCAAATGGCCCACGTACGTAACATGCTTGGGAAATTTTTACGTGGCGAAGATTAGTGGTGTGAAGTGTGAAATGTGCGAATTGTGAAGAATCAAAGGAACACGAGATGTCTTCATTTGAGAGCCACATGCCTTAAAATGAGATGGTGAGGGCACTGAGGGGGGAGGACTTTAGAGCTTTTGGGTTTTGGTTTTTTTTGGTACTTTGAAATTATGTGGACGAGAACTTTGGAATAGCTTAGAAGAAGCCTCGTGTCCCCATACACACATGTCTCACAAATTACTCCTTACTTTACTTTATGTTTTTTGTTTTAGTCAACTACTTTCCTTTATGTTTTTCACCCCAAATTTCATATTAAGATTTCTTAATAAAAAAGCAAATTATAATAATATAAAACTACACATACCATAATAACTAGAAAGAGGGTTAAAGGCTCAAATTCTTTCTTCATAATCTTTTTTTTCTTTGAATAATCTCTCTTTTTATTAATACATACATTATGAATTCCCAATTAACAATAAATATTTTTCATTTTACATTTGGATTTATTATATAATTGTAGAGAAATAATAACCATCTTTTTAAAAAATAATATTTATATATTAAGAACTGAGTTGTCACGAATTAAAACATAATAGAACATGTTAAATAAAACCACATATTTTCTGAATTTCTTATCTAATGTTAAATTATCTAAAAATACTAAAAAAATAATGTATTGTATCATCTAAACTGTGTCACAAAAAATAAATGATACTATTTAAAATTATTTATTTATGAATAAAACAAATATATATGGTTTAGCATCAATTATAATAATTGATATTGTAATTAACTAGTTTGGTATCAATTCAATAAAATTGATACAATTCTTTTTAGTTTGTATCATTTTAACAAAATTTATACGAAAACATATATTTACATCAAATAAATAATCGATGTGTCTACTAATTTTTGTTAACATCACTTATAAAAACAATACAAAATTTATATCAATAAAAACTGATGCTAGCAGAAACTATACTAATAACATAAATATAATTGTGTAAATTAGTTACAACTATTAAAACTGATGTAACAATTGTTTTCTTTAACATCAATTGAATAAAAATGACTTGTCTCTTCTTAATTGGTATCATTTAATTCATTGATGCTAAAGAAAACTAATTTACACCAATAAAAGAATAAATTTTAAAATATTATTTACTATAATATATTGCACATGATATATATAATTAAATTGTATCACAAAAGTAAATGATTTTATTTTAAATTACCTATTAATAAATAATATAAAATAAATGGTTTAACATCATTTATGATAACTAATTTAACACTGATTTAATAAAATTAATACAAACTTATAAATTCACATCAGCTAAATAATTGATGTAATTGTTTATTTTGGTTAACATAAATACTAAAACTTAAATATCCAAAATTCAGTTTTATTGGTCAATAAAATTATAAATTTTTATTTGGTTTAACCAATAAGTTTTCTTTTGGTTTTAACTAATCAGGTTTTTTTTAAAACAATAAGATTAATTATATAAAAATAAGTGACACAATTATTAAAATTAATTATAAAAACTTGCATAAATTAAACATTAACTACTTATAAGTGATAGTAACATTTTAAATCAGATATTTTAAATGATACAAATATTAAACCAGTCATTGTAATGATACAAGTATTAAAATTACTTATTAAAATTGAGACTAATTTTAACAACAGAAATTATTATAACTACCACAACTACTAATATTACTATATAAATTGATGTAGAATATATCATCATTTTTTAATTAACATATATTGACACAGATTATAATAATGGATGCAAAATAAAATTGTATCAGTTGATAATAAACTGATGCATCACTACTTTTAGAGTTATTTTTGGTGATGTAAAATTTATTTGCATAAATTATAAAAATATATAAAATAAATGATACAATACATCATTTTTGTTATAGTGACTAGAAAACAAAAAAAGAAAGAATATTTATCAACTGTGTTGTTTTAGAAAGAAAAAAAAAATCTTAGAATCTGCATGATGTAGAAATTCTAGAATTGAGTGGAGAGGAGATAATGACTTTTTATAAAGCTGGAGAAACAGAAAACATTTATAAATTTCAAAGATATATTTAAAGGGAAAATAACATAAAAAACCTTCAAAGTAACTTCTACTAACACTTTAAACCTTGAGACTAATTCACTAGCATTATAAACTATTAAACTAAAAAAGTTAACACATTAAACCACCAAATTAATTTTTGAATACATGCAGTCTTCAAAACTAACCGAACTGTTAACTCCGTTATCAGAAAAATAAATTTCTAATTTAATAGTTTTTTGTGTTAACTTTTTTAGTTTGATGGTTTATAGTGCTAGTGAATTAGTCTTAAGGTTTAAAGTGCTAGTAGAAGTTACTTTGAAGGTTTAAAGTCCTATATTTAACAATGGCCCAAATAAATTTTTGGTAAAAACCCAAAGATATTTTTGATAAAAGCTCAAATACATTTTCAAAGCTTCAAATTCAGGGATTCCAGCTCCGGAGATTCCCGTTCTGGGAATTCTAGATTTAGAGGTTAACCAATTCCGAATCTAGGGATTGTAGATGTCCATACCCTACAAATAGATATGGGAATGAGATTCAATTTGTTTTTATTTTAGTTGTAAATTTACTAAAAAATAAAATAT